CTCTGTAACAGGTGCTGGATTGCACAACTTTGCAGGTTTCCTGGTAGAAAGTTAGAATGTTCTATGTACAGGAAGTTCATTTATTTTCAGAGAGAGCCTCACACATGCAGATTTAGGAAGGCACCTCTTAGGATAGATGAATTTAGTTTATCAACATGACAAATCTGAGATTTTATGTTAAGAGTTCAATGCGTATATTGATGGCATTACCCAACACAGGCACCACATACAAAATCATAAGATAAATAGCAGTGACTTATCGAGAAAGTCTCTGTGAAATTCAAATGTATTAACCTCAGTGATTAATTATAAACCTGCCACGTTAACACTGTGACACTGTCGCAACTGGCTCACCCATTTTATTGGTACCGATGTGTTCCGGTTAATGGCTTCCAACACAAGTCCGGTGTTGCCAGTTCCCAGTGGGAATCCCACCAGGATATCCAAAATGTAGTGGCAAGAGACCAACTTTTCGACGTTTAGATCCTTTTGAATTGCGAATTGGGAACACTGGAAACCTGAAGCCCCCAGTGTTTCTCCCATAGTGCAGTACAACCCTGTGAGGGCATAATCTAAATTTAATTTTGTGGAGCCACCAAAACAGGAATGATTAAATGAAGAACTCATGCAGGTTGGCAGTAACAGCTTGGATGAGGAGTACATAGAATGCTTATGTGATAGCTTCTTAGAGCAGCACTTTCTGGAACAGACCACAGAGCAGGTAAAATTAGAACGATGTTGTGCTGAACATGATGCCAAGTTAAACTAATCCCTTCTGCCTGCCTTTGATCCATATCTGTCCATTCCTTGCATATTCATGTGCTGATGTAAAAGTCCCGTAAACGCCCTACCATATCTGCCTGCACCACCACCCTAACAGCGTGTTCCAGAAACCTACCACTCTCTATGTAAAAAAAAACTTGCCCCTCATATCTCCTTTGAACTTTAACCCTCTCACCTTAAATGCCTGCACCCTAGTAATAGACATTTCAACTTTTGGGAAAAAGATTCTGACTGTCAACCCTATCTATGCATCTCATAATTTTATAGATTTTATAAAGTCTCCCCTCAGCCTGTACTGCTCTACAGAAAACAACCATAGTTTTTCTAGCCCTCCTTATAGCTCATAACTGCTAATCCAGGCAGCATCCTGGTAAACCTCTTCTGCATCCTCTCCAAAACCTCCACACCCTTCCTGTCATGTGGCGACCAGAATTGAACACAATGCTCTAAGTGCAGCCTAACCAAAGTTTTACAAAGCTGCAACATGACATCCTGACTCTTTTACTCAATATATTTGGTATTACATAAAGTAACAGAAGTAACTCATGACCTTCCTAGGTAGCAGCAACCACAATATATTCAGTTTTACATTTAGTTTGAAAGGGAGAAGATTGGGTCTAAAGCTACTATTTTACACTTAAATCAGGGCAACTATGTGGGCATGAAAGCTGAGCTTGCTGCAGTGAACTTTTATAGTAAACTAGGAGATAGATCAATAGAGATACAGTGGCAGGCATTTAATGGGATTTTCCAGAATGCGTATATTTCTAATATAAAGAAAAATTCTAAAGGGAGGACCCACATTTGTGGTTATCTAAAGAAGTTAGGAAAAGCATTACACTTAAGGGAGTCATTTAATTGCATAAAGATAAGTGGCAGGTCAGATGATTGGTTGGAATATAGAGAATGGCAGAGACTGACTAAAAGATTGATCAAGGGGAGGAAATTAAAGCATGAGAGGAAGCTAACTAGGAATATAAAAACAATAGTGAAAGTTTCTACAAGTATTCCAAAAGGAAAAGTGCAAGTGAGTGTTGCTACGAGAGAGAGAGAGAGAGAGAATGGGAAATCAGGAATTGGAAGGGAAAGAGAGGAACTTAGTGAAATTACAATCATGATGGTGATATTAAACAAACTGATGGAGCTGTGGGTCAAGTCTTTGGGACATGATGGACTGCACTTCATCCTGGGGTCTTAATAGAGCTGGCTAATAAGCTGGTTGATGTGGTAATTTTCCAAAATTCCTTCAATTTAAGTTAGACTAGAAAGTCGCAATATAACTATATAAGGTTCAAAGGCACAAAACAGGAAAGTGTGGCTCCATTAGCACTTGTAGGGAACGTATTAGAGTCAACCGTTTAAAGAGATTATAGCTGCGCAGTTAGAAACTCATGGTACATTGGGAAGAGTCAGCGTGGTTTTGTCAAGAAAGTCACGTTTACCAATTAGTTGGCGTTCTTTGAAGGAGTGAAATGTGCTGTGGATAAAGGGGAGCCAGTAGACATACTCGCATTTCCAGAAGGCATTTGAAAAGGTGCCACTTAAAATGTTATTGCTGAAAACAAAAGCTGATGTTGCAGTGGGTTATGCATTAGCATGGATACAAGATTGCGGGATGTGACAAGTGGAATTCTGCAGGGGTCTGTGCTGGGACCTCAACTTTTTACAACTTGTGTCAATGACCTAAATGAGAGAGTGAACGCATGGCAGCTAAATTCACAGACACCGTCAAGATAGTGAGGGAAATAAGTGGTGAAGGAGACATATGAAGGTTTCAGATGAATGTGTAGATAGGTTGAGGGGGACAAAAATCTGGCAGATGGTGTATAATATGGGAAGATGTGTTGTTCTGTCACTTTGGCAGGAAGAATGAGAAAGCAGAATTTCAGTTGACAGCGCAATGACTACAGCGGTTCAAGAAAGCTGCTCACTGTCACCTTCTCATGGGCATCTAGAGACAGGCAGTAAATGAATGAATTTTAAAAATCGCTTAAATAGAGAATGACTAGAATTTTGAGGTGCTGAGAAATTTAGTAGTTCTAGTGTATGAGTCACAAGAAATTAGTGTGCAGATATAACTGGCAATCAAGAAGGCTAATGGGATGCTATGTTTTATTACAAAAGGAATTGAATGTTAAAGGATGTTATGCTCAAATACTTGGTCTCCATATTTAAGAAAGAATGTAAATTCACTAAACATGATTCAGAGGAAGTTTACTAGATTGATACCTGGAATGAGTGGTTTATGTAATCAGGATAAGTTGGACAGGCTGATGGCACAGTGGTTGTGTCCCCACCCCTTGAGCAGGAGGCCCGGGTTCAAGTCCCACCTCCTCCACAGGTGCGTAATAACATCTCTGAATAGGTTGATTAGACAAAAACATAGGTTGGACGGACTTGGTTTGTTTTCACTGGAGTTTAGAAGTGCAGTGGTGGATTTAACAGATGGTCTTGACAAGGTGGATGTGGAAAGGATGTTTCTTCTTATGGATCAGCCCAGAACTAGGGGGCACAGTTTTAAAATTAGGGGTCACCCTTTTAGGATAGATATGAGAATTATTTATTTGCAGAGGATCTTGTAACTTTGGAACTCTTAGAAGGTGCAGGAGTGGATAGATTCTTGTTAGGCAAGGGAATTGAAGATTATCAGGGGAGAAGGGGATGTGAAACTGATTAGCCACAATCCTATTGAATGGTGGAGCAGACTCAAGGGGCTGAATAATCACCTTCTGTTACAGTTTCGTTTGTTGGTTCCTCCCACTGACTCTGTATCTTGCTGTTGTCAGAACATGATTGATGCAGAATAACTGTTACCTTTGTCTACCAATAAGCCAGTTACTTTGAAAGTAATTGAAAGGGTAAATTTATAGTGTCATCTGCTGTGCTACTTGTAATGCTGTTTGTAAAAGAAAGTTTAGCCCTTCTCATTGTATACATATGTTATACAAACAGGTATCACTCATGGTGGAACGTTGGGAAGACTGAAGCCAGCCTGTTTGATCCTCTTCATATTTCATATCTTTGCTAGTAATTCCATCCCCTCCTCCGCTCCTATTTCATGTTGACGCTTCACAGCTTCAATGTCCTTTTCTGCGTTGTGCTAAAGATCTAAACCCAGTGTCCTTTCTGTCACGACAGGGCATCATCTGTCATCATCACAGCAACACCTACCTTCCTCTCTTTCATAGCTGTCCTGCTGCTGAAACCAAAGCCAGATTACAGTCCTTCATGATCCTCCACTTTCCCTGACCTCTGTGGCTCATATCATGCCACACACCACGCCCCCCTCCCCCATCAAGTACTTTGCACCCATTCTGTGTAGTGCTTCCTGACCTACCTTGATTCCTTACCACCATAGTGTGCCCAAATGGGAGAGGACCCCAAAGAGTGCTGGGAATCTGGAATGCACTGCCTGGGAGGTTAGCTATAGAGTCATTCAGCACAGAAACAGACCCTTCAGTCCAACTTGTCCATGCCAATCAGGTATCCCAAACTGAACTAGTCCCATTTGCCCACATTTGGCCCATATCCCTAAAAATCTTTCCTATTCACATACCTGCCCAAATGGCTTTTAAATGTTGTCATTGTACCTGTCTCTACCACGTTCTCTGGCAGTTCATTGCAGACATTTACTACCCACTGTGTTAAAAAGTTGCTGCTAAAGTCCCTTTTAAATCTTGCTCCTCTCACTTTAAGGCTATGCCCTCTAGTTTTGGACCTCCCTGCCCTTGGAAAAAGACCTTGAGGCAGGCAACTTTATAACCTGTAAAAAAAAAAAAAAAATTGCTTGGATGAGCAATTGAAATGTCATAACTTTTAGGCTGGAAAGTGGGATGAGTGTAGACTTAGCATAGTTTTGGGAGTACAGACCCAGTAGATTGAAGGGCCTCTTCTGATTGAATGAAAAGTCATAATTTCCAATTAATAAGGTGCTCCTATGAAAGTATGATCCTACATTAGTTTGGTAATGACTGAGTTACCAGACGAATATCAGAGGGTAGGTTTTTATATCCCGCACCCCTTTCAGCAACTGAAAGTCCTATTGTCCAGCTGGCATTCTGTTCAGAGGGCAGGGATGTACTGGGTGAGGTGAACTGTGATTGGGCCATTCAGTGTGTCTGTCAATGGGGAGTTGTCGGTTGTTGGGCAGTCTATGTTAGTACTTGTGGCCGTTACCCGTGGTTGAAATGTAACATTTCCTCCTGTTGCTGTTACAGGTGAGAGGCCATACAAATGCTTGACCTGTGAGAGGACATTCACCCTGAAACACAGCCTTGTCCGCCATCAGCGCATCCATCAGAAGGGAGCCAAGGTGACCAAGAGACACCCGAGCGAGAATGATGACGATTTGTCCAAGGATGAGGACGACAGTGAGAGTGAGGCTGAGCGAGCGGGCTCTAGCCAGCTGTCGGACAACGAGAGCGAGACGGTCACCAGCATCAGCCTCAGCCTCAGCAATGACTCGCCGCTGCCACTGAGCTTTGCAGGGAGCCCAGTGACAGCCACAACGAGCCAGTCTCCCAGCCAGGCGGGCGGCAAAGCAGCCGAGCCGGAGAACAGCCTCCATCGCCCGGCAACAGCAGTCAATGGCGTGAGGCAAGGAACCTTCGTCATTCAGGGCAACGACCAAGAATCGTTAAAAAGCTCGGAAAAGGCGCTTGCCGATTCCACGGGCTCCTCGGACATCATCCAGAACTTTCTGGGAATACCCAGCGGGGCGCCAATGAACCACGTCCTGGGCTCGGTAGAGTCTGCTCCATGTCTGCTCGGAGTGGAGTAATGTGGCTTCCAAGGAACTGGAAGTTTTTGTTGCTCTAAAGCTGTGCCACCGTATTTTGGAATCAAATTGACCCTCTTGTACCCGCAAAGCACCAAGCAGGGACAAGGCTGCTGCGGTGAATTGTTTTCGTCCTCCTGTGTGCGGGCAGAGTTTTCTGTAACTCTGGAGTGACGGAACGCCTTAAGAGACACTGGAGTGAGAGGAATCCAGTGCAACTCTCCAGACTGCATGTTGTATCTTCCAAGTGCCTTATGACCTGATTGCTGTGCACAACTAAAGTTCTGTTCAGAAGTGCTCGAAAAATCCTTATTTCGAAATAAGTACAACGAGAAGAGCTAGCCTTTTTTTTTGAGAACAATCTTGGGGAAGTATCAAATTCCTTTGTGATACGTTTATATTTTAAAGCTGATTTTTAAAACAAATAACACATAATAATGGGGCATCAAAATGCACTTGGTATAGGCTGTGCAAGGGCTCCTAATGAGGAACTGCTGTACTAAGTCTTCCAGAAAGGCCTTACAGTGATCAATGACACTGACAATCTCTGGGCCAGTTTTTCACCATAAATAACAAACATAGGGGCAAAATAGCAATTATGGCTTTTTATTTTGTTTCTTTCACAAAACAAATATGACTTTGTTCTCCATTTATAGTGTGCACAACAGTGCAGTCTTGTTTTCTTTTTGTAATTTGGTCTTTTAAGATGTATTTTGATTAAGGTGGAACTTGTTTGCCACTGTCTTTGAAAATGCAAGATGGCTTCCACGAGATTTCCCCCTTCATTTTTAACACGCATTGGGTTGTTTTGGCTAGAAACAAGGAAGTGGGACTAAGAAGGTAAAATGAATTAGGAGACACTTTTTTTTGTTAAATCTTATATCAGTATGAAATTCAGTACAAAAAGAATTTAAGGTTTTTTTTTACAATTCTGCTCTCTATGGTTTAATACCCAGTGACCTGGGGGAGCAGCTATTAATCAGTTATATAATGCAGAACTGTAGCAAGGAAAAATCTCCCAGCGTTAAGCTGGAACAGTGTACTAGCAATAATCACTATTGATTTAAAGCTTTATTTAGTATTTTTCTGTACCGGCAATATTAGTTTATATGGCCCTTGCCACATTTTATTGATTCTTCTATTAGTGGGTTTTGTTGTCTGACCGAAGCAAATCTGTTGCGTTTTCTTTTCAAAAGCTGTGAAAAGGAGAAAATTATTTTGTGCTGAGTTATGGGTGAATCTTAGATTAGATTGCATGTGGAACTAATTTGTTTATCAGTTATTTGTAATTCCGACTGTCTCTCTCAGGGCTTTTCAAAAAAAATTTGCATCTACTAAATCCCTTTCTAGTTCCAAAATTTCTTCCACTTTAAGAACTTGAAGCTGAGACGATTCAATCACTACATGAAGCACTTGACTGTGAAAGAAAAATAACGATAATTAATTGGTTTACAGCTTGTTAAAAAAAACAGTCACTTTTCACTGCATCGCGATTAAAGAGCTTTTTATTACCAGAGGTTTAGTGAATTATTGTCTATTTTCAAGAAGGAAAGAAACTTTAATGGGGGAAAAAAGGAAATAAAAGTAATGCATTAATCCATAAAACATTGTTTGAAAATCCAGAATCCATACTTTTTCGTAAAGGGAATCTTTACTGCTGCTAAATATTATGTACACATCTGGTGTATGCCACATGAACAGAGAATCACAGAGTTTTGGTACTTACTTCCAATGCAAAAATTTAAAGCTGTTCTGTATCAAACCATCTAAGCAATAAAATGTTATACTTGAGCATTTTATTTGTCCAATCATTGTATTTGTTTATGCATTGACAGTAGACCGACACTTCACTTCTCTTCTCGCTCTCCTCCATGACCACTGCATGATAACAGAGCCGTATTATTGTGTGGTATAGGGATTATTGCTTAAAACTTCTAGCACACCGTTAAGTCTATAGGCTGGAAATTTGTCCTATGTTAGCCTGTGTTGCAAAATTGACTGCCTGTAGTGACTGATATCAAGTCTAATATTTTACGTTTATATTAATGAAGTGTTTAGTTATCTTCAGGACTTGACCATTAACTGGGGTTCCACATGGGCTGCTATTTTTAGTGTTTAGCCTTTTTGCATTTGGAGGTGCATGCTTGTATTGTGTGTCTCTAAGTAAAATGCTTGTACATAGCTCAAGTTTTAGTCCTCACTACCTGGCTATTGGGCACCATGGGCTGCAATGGAAGGTAATAGAGGCATAGTGTATAACAGGGACCAAGATATTTGTGGGGGTTGGGGGTGGAAGACTGCTTTATGTGACCACCTGAGATGAGAGAACTTTCCAGCCCTCAAACTGTCAGAGAATGCAGTGTGTCTGTGCAGATGGTTTCTGACGTAAACCATGTGTTTTGATTTTGATGCACTTTAATTTGATCTTAGCTGTGTGCTTTGAATCAGCTATCAGGGATTTATAGCTTCATTTCTGTGGGATTAATACACATTCCTGGACTGTACGTCTCTAAACCGACATGTGATGGAGACTGAGAAACACAGTGCATATGCCTTCAAACTGTTACCTGCATTACCACCCTAAAGAAGCAGCATGGTGATTCAGCGGGTAGCACTGCTGCCCCACAGCGTCAGGGACTGGGGTTCAATTTCATCCTTGGTCAACTGTCTGTGTGGAGTTTGCATGTTCTCTTCGTGTCTGCATGAGTTTCCTCTGGGTGCTCTGGTGTGCTCCCACAGTCCAAAGATGCAGCAGGGTAGGTGGATTAGCCAGGGGAAATGCAGTGTTACAGGGATAGGGTGGGAGGAGTCGGATGTTCTTTGGAGGATTGATGTGGAGTTGATGGGCTGAATAGCCTGCTTCCGCACTGTAGGGATTCGATGATTCTGTACATATTTCACGAGGAGAAATCTGCATGTACTCATTAGCAGTGACTGGAATTCCTGAACGCAACTGCCAGGAATTAAAAGATTGTCTTTAAAGCCACTGACACTTCCTTGTCAAGAACTTGGTCAGACTTAGATAGTATTGAGCTGGCACCCATCATCATTGCAAAATGGTTAGTTACATAGAATTTGGAACATAAATCATGGAGGTAGTTATCTTTCTCTGCCTGCCCACATCCATAATTTTAAAGAAGGTAGTTGATGTAGAGAAGTTTGATTGTAAATGGTGCAATTTGCTGAAGTGTTTTCCGATCTCTCCATATGGTTCCAAGCTTGTTTTCTGGAACCTCATCCAAATATCCATTGGATTTAGACAAAGAATTGTGGTAAACTATTCAACAAAGTAAGGCATTGTGACTAGGTCTGCCCACAGCCTCATCTGATAGGATTGGATACATGCAGCTTCCAGCGAAAGCACTGGCTGATAAATGGGGAAGAGACCTTTGTAAACAGTTGTGCTGAATTTTATGTATGATTGTTTTTGGGATGTGCCTGTCACTGGCAAAGCCACCATTGCCCTTGATCAGAGTGTCTTGCTAGACCATTGCAGAGGGCAGTTAAGAGTCAATTGTTGTGGTTAATAGATGAAACAAAAAATACCATGCGTGCTTTGGCGATTGGGGAAGAAAATGTTCAGTTGTGTGTAAGAGCATATAAAAGGAAAAAAAAATCAACTCCATTTCTGTGGGTCTGGTATCACATGTAGGTTAGAACAGGTAAGAACAGCAGCGCTATCCTCTAAAGGACATCAGTGAACCAGACTGGTCCCTACATCAAAAGTTTTTTAAAAAAAAGTAACTGAATTAAACTGCATTTATTTCAATGCAAGGGGTCTTACAGGTAAAGCTGATGAACTTAAGACATGACCATGGGACTGGGGCGTCATAGCTATTACAGAAACTTGGCTGAGGGAGGGACAGGACTGGCAGCTCAATATTGTGGCTTTTAAGTGCTATAGGAATGATAGAAAGGGAGGAGGGGGAGTGGCATTTTTGATTAAGGAAAACATTACTATTGTATTTAGGATATTGCTGAGGGATTGGCCAGTGAAGCTATATGGGTAGAACTTAGAACTAAGAAAGGGATGATCACCTTGATTGGGTTGTAATATAGGCCCCTCCAATAGAGAGAAATTGAGGAGCAAATATGTGGAGAGATCTTAAGATATATGTAAGAATAATAGGGTTGTAATAGTAGAGGATTTTAATTTTCCAAACATAGGCTGGGTCTCCCGTAGTGTTAAGGGTTGGATGATGAGGAATTGTTAAATGCGATCAAGATAATGTTTACATACTGATAAGGAACGTACCTACCAGAGAAGGAGCAAAACTTGACCTTCTGTTGGGAAATAAGGCAGAGCAAGTGACTAAAGTATTAGTAGGGGAACACTTTGGGACTAGTGATCATAATTCTACTGGTTTTATAGTAGTTATGGAAAAGAATAGGCCTTCCATAAAAGTTAAAGTTCTTAATTGGAGTAAGGCAAATTTTAATGGAATGAGACAGGAACTTTCAAAAGTTGATTGGGGTAGACTTCACAGGGATGACTGACAAGTGGGAGGCTTTCAAAAGTGAGATAATGAGAATTCAGAGGCAGTATGTCCCTGTTAGAGTGAAGGGTAAGGCTGGTAAGATTAGGGAACAATGGATGATAAAAGATATTGAGGTTCTGGTCAAGAATAAGAAAGAGTCAAATATTGACAACAGGGATCAAATGAATCTCTTGAAGACTATAAAGCATGTAGGAGAATTCTTAAGAGGGAAATCAGGAGGGCAAAAAGGGGATACGAGATGGCCTTGGCAGATAAGGATAAGGATAATTCCATGAGATTCTACAAGTACACTAAGAGCAAAATAGCAACTAAAGAGAGAGCAGGGCCCTTTAAAGATTAACGAGGTCTTCTATGTGTTGAACCTCAAGAGATGGGAGAAAAACTAAATACTTCACAACAGTTTTTACAGTAGAGAAAAAAATGGACGCTAGAGAACTCGGGGAAATAAGTATTGATGTTTTGAAAACAGTTCACATAACAAAAGAGGAAGTGCTGGAGGTCTTGGAAAACAAAGGTGGATAAATCTCTGGGATCTGATCGTGAATCCCAGGGCATTGTGGGATGTTAGGGAAGAAATTGCAGGCCCCCTAGCATAGATATCTGTATCATCTATAACCATGGGTGAAGTGCTGGAGGACTGGAGGGTGGCTAATATTGTGCCTTTATTTAAGAAAGGCTTTAAGGATAAGTCTGGCAACTATAGACTTGTGAATCTAACATCAGTGGTGGGTAAATTGTTGGAGGTGATTCTGAAAGATAGGATTTTATGTGCATTTAGAAAGGCAAGGACTGATTATGGATAGTCAGCATGATTTCGTGCAAGGGAAATCATGTCTCATAAACTTGATTGAGTTTTTTGAGGAAGTAACCAACAAGATTGATGAGGGCAGAGCGGTCGATGTTGTTTACTTGGACTTCAGTAAAGCCTTTGACAGGGTTCTGTGTGATGGACTAATTAGTAAAGTTAGATCACATGGGATTCAGGGGGAGCTTGCTAGTTGGATATAAAATTGGCTTGACATTAGGAGACAGAAGGTGGTGATGGAGGGTTGCTTTTCGGACTGGAGGTCTGTGACCAGCGGTGTTCCACAGGGATCGGTTCTGGGTTCACTTTTGTCTATCATTTAAACAAACAACTGGATGAGAGTTTAGGAGGAATGGTTAGTAAGTTTGCGGATGACACCAAAATTGGTTGTATACTGCACAGTGAAGTTTATCTACGATTACAAAGAGATCTTGATCAATTGGGTCAATAGGCTGAGGAGTAGCAGATGGAGTTTAATTTGGATAAATGCAAGGTATTGCATTTTTGTAAAACAAACAAGGGCAGGACTTATATAATTAATGATAGGGCCCTGGGTGGTGTTATAGAACAGAGACCTAGGGGTTCTGGTACATAATTCTTTGAAGTTTGCGTCACATGTAGACAGTGGTTAAAGTGTTTGGCATGCTTTCCTTCATTGCTCAGCCCTTTGAGTGTAGGAGTTGGGATACCATGTTGAGGTTGTACCAGGCTTTGGTGAGGCCTCTTCTGGAATACTGTGTACAGTTCTGGTTGCCCTGCCATAGAAAGGATATTGTTAAGCTGGAGAGGGTTTAGAAAAGATTTATCAGGATGTTGCCAGGAATAGGGGATTGGAGTTATAAAGATAGGCTGGGACTTCTTTTCCCTGGCGTGTAGGAGGTTGAGAGGTGACCAAATAGAGGTTCATAAAATCATGAGGGGCATAAATAAGATGAATATCAAGAGTCTTTTCCTTAGGGTGGGGGAGTTCAAAACTAGGGGCCATATTTTTAAGGTGAGAAGAGAAAGATCTAAAAGGGACCTGAGGGGCAACGTTTTTACACAGAGTGGTACGTATGTGGAATGAACTGCCAGAGGAAGTGATGGATGCAGATATAGTTACAACATTTCATAGAATCCCTGCAGTGTGGAAGTGGGCCATTCAGCCCATTGAGTGCATACCAACCCTCCGAAGGGCATCCCACGTAGACCCAGTCCCCTACCCTAACCTGCAATCCTGCTTTCCCATGGCTAATATACCGAGTTTGCACATCTTTGGACTGTGGGAGGAAACCAGAGCACTCGGAGGAAACCCATGCATACACGGGGAGAATGTGCAAACTCCACACAGTCAGTCACCCGAGGGTGGAATTGAACCCAGATCCCTGGTGCAGTGAGGCAGTAGTGCTAAAAGAAATTTGGTTAAGTACATGAATAGGAATGTTTTGGAGGGATTTGGGCAAAACGCAGGCAAGTGGGACTAGTTTGGTTTGGGAACATGGCTGGCA